GTGGCGGGGCGTGGTGGGGTGTGGTGGGGCGTGGCGGGTGGTTAGTTTTTGGGACACGCCGTGTGTCTCCTGTCTGGTTTTATTTGTTCAGTATAGGAAAAAAAACCTTAAATGTGTCAAAATAAGGCGTGCCCGCAAATACTAAATGCTGACACAATACTAACACTGCCTGCAATTATGCATGAGTTAGACGAATTAATTTTTCTAATGCTGGAAGTAAAATGCGCTGATGGAACAAATTGAGTTTATGTACTGAAATAAGGAGTAAAAGTTTGATTCAGTTTTTGCTTTTTCGGCGGTTGTTATCAGTTCTGCTTAACGCGTCCCGCGGGACAGACCAAAGTGCTAGGGTTTGGAGTTTGAACAAAAACCACAAGAAGTAAGGATGACAATTCTTAATTTGGTGCCTCTGTCAAACGCCAAGAGAAAGATGCGCCAAAGGTCAAGTAAGTAGGTAGCTTAATAAACACAGCTTCAATTTTTCGCACTCAGAAAACCGATTGTTCAACTTAACGAAATTTAGTGTTGAGAAAACCAACGAAATTTTGTTTCCGTCGACCAAATTTCAATCGTGTTGATTGGATAATTTAGTCAGGTCGATGTAAAGTAATCAGTTCGAAAAAAGTTTTGGTTGGGCTGATCACATTTAATTGTAAAAGTTTGATTAAACGTTTCGTTGGATTTAGGGAGTAAATTTTGTTTCCTTCAACACGAATTTAGTCATAGGGACTAATAGCTTCTCTCAGTGCGAATTTTGGAACAGGTATTTGTGACATTCAATTGAAAAAGGGACAGACATTGTTATCACAACATATGACAAAACAATATTTTGACGGGCTTTTGCCGATTGTCACAAGGTGCCCCCTTAAAACTTCATTATTTGCTCCTATTGAGAACCTCAGGGCTGCCAGCTGCCAAAATAACTGGGAAGGCGACACATTTCTACCCTCTGAGCACCGTCGCTTTAAGGACGGCCCCTCCGTTTGGACGCCATTTCATTTCCAATTCCCTCCACCACCGCTGCCTGCTGCCACCGCGACCGTTGCGGGGGCGGCGGGGGCGGCGCGGGGGAGTATCGGGGAGCAGCCAGGTAGCTCGCCCTGGAGGGGGGGCTGAGGGGTGATCGGAAGGCCATTGCGCCGAGCTGGAGAAGGTTTGACGCGCTCGCCGGAGCCGCCCGGAGCTGCGCGCTGGAGGGGGTGGGCGACGGGCGCTGCTCGCGGTGCCGCAGTTGGTGGGCGTGGTCTGGCGTGGCGGCGCTTCTTGGAGGAGGCGGGGCCAAGGCGCAGCGAGGGCCACCCCCCACCCCCGGGGACCCGCGGCGGCGGCGGTGGCGGCGGCGGAGCCTCGACCCGTGGCGCCTCTAGGGCGGCGGCGCCACGCCGGCCCGGGGACGACAGGCTGCAGCCTCAATCTGAAGATTGCTTTTTACGCAAGTTGAACGGCGTCGCCTCTGGTCTTGTCGCCGTCTCCCTTCCCCCCCTCACCAACTTTACTCCTTTTCTGCCTCCTTCCGGGTGAGAGTATGGGCGTATACGAGGGGTGGTTTTTCTAATACCGCCTATAAGGGAGGTGAGAAGGAAGCAAAAGAGGGGGTTGATGACGGGAGGGGTTGACGACAGGGGGGTTGATGGCGAGGGGGTTGATGGTGTCGCCTCTGGAGGAAAGGGTGCTGCTGGGATTGAGGGGACGTCAGCAGCACGTTCTCCTGGGGGGACGTCGTCGGGGTCTGCCCCCACCCCCTCAACGAGTCCAAATGGCTGCCCTGCGCCCGCGCCGAGGGCTGTCACAGCGTCGCGAGGTGAGGCGGGGCGCGGCGGGGTGAGGTGGGGTGGGGTGGGGCGTGGTACGGGGCACGTCCCCGGGCTTTGTGGTTCCCGCTTTCCCGCCTGTCGCTTGCACTTCTCTTTATTCTTTTCTGCCCCGCGCGCTGCTGCCTCGCCGTTCCTCTTTCGAGACAGTCCGCTCGCCCGAACACCTGCCGCGGCGCGGTACGCCCCGCCTCAAAGACCCCGCCCTGCCACCCCGCCCCGCCCCGGCCCGCCCCGCCCGGCGAGCGCTATGCCGCCGTGCTTCAAAGGTTGTCATGGCTCAGCGGAGTTGATCGGGAGTTGAGCCGGGGTGGCTGGAGCGGCAGTTCTTGTCCGCCACGCTCGCAACGCAACTCTAATAGAAAAAACAACAACAACATTCAATCGCTCAAGTGCAGCTTAAAAAATAGATAAATGGCCAATGACTATTTTGAATTATTCGTACAAGACTGACCGTCAACTACTACGACTGCGCATACACGGAACACTTATGCACTATATGTTGTGCGAAGTATTTTAGGTGACCATAGTTAGTATGAAGTTATACACGAAGTTATACACATTTCAATGCATTTAAGGTTGGTTTTAAACGGATTTATATGTCGAGTATTTTTTCCGCTTTTCATATGTGTGTGCCTGCAGGCACATACGCCATGATGAACAAATTTGTTCACACCGGCGTTTAAAAAAATGTGTAAGCAGAGCACGTACACAGAACTCAGTAAGCTATGAATAAAAATGTTCATAAGCTTTTAGTGTGTAGGGTTGGATATTTCCAAAAAAATCCTGAAATTTTCCGCAAACTTTCCAGAGTTATCCAACCGCATTGCTGACCAATTCTCCTACCTAATTCGTCTTTCCTCTTCGTTTGCCTCCATAGATGTCAGGCCGGGACGGGGCGTTGCGTCGTGGACAAGGCCCACCGGAACCAGTGCCAGGCCTGTCGCCTCAAGAAGTGCCTCCTGATGGGGATGAACAAGGACGGTAAGTAGAGCTCGAAAAAAGGCGATTACTTATACATTGGAAATCCAAGAGAACGAATTCCGCTGGCGAGTAAACAATTTCACACTCCTGCAGGTGTGTGGCATAAATATTCAAGCGTGAAACACATTCATGCATTTGTAGGTGAGCGACTAGAGATCCGTACACTTCAAAAGGTAGAGTCAATCAGCACTCAAGTTTTCAAATTATGTTTCTCACATCTGCTGGTGTGTAAAAATTCTGTCACACCTTCAATGTTAATTCGTTCACACACCTGCGGGTCTCCAAAATTCGTATCCTTTGGATTTCCGGAGTATCTACTGTCTTTGTAGACCTTTTACTCAACGGTGAAATATTAAGTTCGTGCACAGTTGTTTCTTGTCCGTTTTTGCATATTCTCAGAGCTCAGGACACGTACGTATAACAAGCCCAACACCATAAGAGATATTTGTGTGCAAAATCGCGCGCGGTGTGATACGAAAACACGCTTTTGTGGTGCGGATGGTTGGCTTCTGCTGGGCCTCCTCCGCTCTGGAGTCCTACCGCTGCCGACCTCCATAACTGCTTCGGGGGAGGCTCCTGCCGACGGGCCTAACGATGCCAATCAGGTCCCCAACAGAGGGTAACGTCCCCCACGCCCTGCAAAGTTAGCCAAGAGGAGGGCATGGGCTGTCAAAGTTACTGACTGACTGAGCGACTGGCTGGCGGGCTGACCAAGCGACTGACTGAGTGACTGACATAAACGTATTGCCTGACCGAACGATTAACAAACTAGCTCGACTGAGTGACTGCGACTGACAAACTGACTGACTGAGCCACTGGCTGCTTGGCTGGAAGACTGGAAAAGTAACTAAAGGACTCGGGCGGACTGACTGAATGCCTGACGAAGTTACCGACGGACAGAGCGACTGTGGCTGACTGGCTGACTGGACAGAGTAAGCGACGGACGTAACTGAGCTACTGGGAGACTGATAGCGGGTTGGACCCGTGGAAATTTTTCATAAAATAACATGAAAATTTCGGGAACAAACAGAAAATTTTCAGGAAAAATGGACAATTTCACAAACTTTTGAAAGTGTTTCGTCGTTTTTCTGAAATTTTCTACAATTTTTCTGAAATTTACCGGAAAATTCTGGAAATTTTCAACCCCATGAGTGACTGACTGACTAACTGAGCGGCTGACCGAGCGGAATACTTTGTCAGACAGACAGACAGACGGAGTGGTCTCTCGCTGGTGTGTCCGCGGGGTGCGCCCGTCGCGTGCTTCGCTCGTTACTCTGACAGCAATTAGGCGATGCGCTAACATCTGCATAAGGCGCGTGGTGGCGCGCGCCCGCCACTCCACAAAGAGATGATCGCTGGGGTGCAAAAGCGAAACGGGTGGGGGGCGCTGCTCGCCGCCACTCGCCGCACGCCCTCGTGCTCTCTGAACCGAGCCGTTCGCTCGCCAGCTATCTCTCTCACTCGCTCGCTCGCCAGCTATCTCTCTCACTCGCTCGCTCGCCAGCTATCTCTCTCACTCGCTCGGTCTCACTTGTTTGCTCTTACTCGCTCGCTCTCGCTCGCTCTCGCTCGCTCTCGCTCACTCTCTCTTGCTCGCTTTCTCTCTCTCTCTCTCTCTCTCTCTCTCTCTCTCTCTCTCTCTCTCTCTCTCTCTCTCTCTCTCTCTCCTTCCTTTCCTCTCGGCTCACAGGGCGGGCCGGGCGGCGCCGTCCTGCCGCCGGGCAGGTAGGCAGCCTAGCGTGCTCGCGCGCAGCGGTGCCCGACGGGTCGGCCCATCCCGCCGGGCTGAGACCGGCCGGCCGGGGCTGGCCACACTGGGCGCAACTACTGTGTGTTTATCAAGAGTACGGCGGCCTCCCGAGTACGAATGTGTGTGTGCGTGGGTGCGTGCGCGTGGTGGTCGCTGCCGCGGACACGCACGGCGACACCACCGGGGTTCTCATCGTGCTCGTGCTCCTCCACGCCGGCGGAGAGGACGACAAGACAAGGATAGCGATATACCGTCCTCGGGCCACGCCACGCCACGCCACAAAGACGCAAGAAAGTAGAAAAGCAGCGCGCGCGTCGGTAACAAACGAACGGGGTTGGCGGTGGTGGTGGCGGTGGGGGGGCGCGAGCGGGGCGTGCCAAAAAACGTGTCAAACGAATTATGCAAATAGTCTTGCAGAGGGTGCGGGCGCGCCGTGCTCCGCGACAGTACAGGGCTCGTCTTCTCACGCCCCCCCCCCCCCCCCCTCCCCTCCGGGCTCTGCCACCACCCGTGGCGTGGCGGGGCGTGGCGGGCGCCGAGGTGGGGCGGGGCGGCGGGGCGTGGCGGGACGCGCCTACAAAGTTTGCAGCGTTATTCAAGCAAACCTCATTATCCCCCCGTGAACGCCATAGACTGAAGGGCCAGCCAAAGGGCCCGGTGTGGACGGGCGCGTGGCCGCTTGGGGGCGGGGCGGGGCGGGGCGTCCAATGTGTTCGACCAGCGCGCGACCACGACCGGAAAACAACCGAGCGACGTTGTCGCGGTGGGGGGTGGCGGAGGGAGAGTCCGCTCGGGCCCGGGGAGGGCGTCACCAGAGAGGACCTTCTCCCGCGCCTCGCGCTGGTGGTGGTGGTGGAGACGGGAAGCACCGCAAAAGGGCGCGAGGGAAAGGGCGTCGGAGAATCAGCGACCTATATGTTCGCAGCAAAAGAGACTATCGAGGGAACGACCGAACGTGATGTACACGGATGTACATGAAGGATGTAACGATGTACATTAACGACGTCACGTAGAAAAGTATTTAACCATGGTGCCTGGTTCTGTTTCATACCAGAAAACGGCAACGATGCCGCCCGAAAATTAATTAAATATCGGTACTGGAAGGAATTTTTACTGAAAGCCGACGTTTGTTCGGTCGCACCTTGGCTACGTGATTGACAATTATTTCTCGTCGTGTTCATTTGCACCAAACTCGCCATCTTGACACTGACGCGGTTTTATCGAGTCACGATGGATACTGTACGACTTCGCAGGGTCCGAATCAAACGTAAATCAACGCCTGGACAATAAACTCTCTCGGCCGCCGCCGCGCGGAGGGTGCAGCGCTGGGCGCCGCGACGGGTGGGGAGCGCGGTGCTGGCCCAGGGCGGGGAGCGGCCGTCGCGCTGGCCGCGCTGGCGGGGGTCCTGTGGTCGGCGGGGAGCCCGCTCCGGGGCAAGCTCCCCGCGGGAGGTCCCCGCGCCCTCGCCCCGCGCTGGAGGTTCGACTTGACGCGCTCGCGATGTGGAGGCGCGGTAGTGAGGGCGACGGCGGCGGGTGGCCGAACTGCCCCGGGGCCAACCATCGCTGGGAACGTATGGTTAGGACGACTGAAGGATACTTCGTTATAAATTCAAGCGTGCACGTTTTTCTTAGTTTTCTTTTACTAGTTTTTTTTTCTGATTCTTTCTGATTTATTTTTCTAAAACATTCCACTACGACCTAGGACCTAGAGGCGAAACTTATGCCAAAAACTTCCAGATTTGCTCTCAGCGGAGGTCACTTTTCGTTTGAAGTCTTTTGTAGACCGATTCGGTGCGTGTAATAGGTCTGGCAGCAGCGGCAGCATCATGTTAAAGACATGAGGTGAAGGTCATTGGGACGGAACTGCTGCGCATACGGTTATTTCATAATCACCGACCGACCGACCGACCCCCTTGTATGTCCGGGTCACCGTCTGTCTGGAACACGTGCCCTACTGTTGTTGGCATTGGCAGCGGTGGAGGCCGCGCGCGGAGCCCGCGCGGAGGCAAGGCAAAACAATATGACGGAGACGACAAAAGGGCGCCGCCGCTCCTGGCCGTGGCGGGGCTGGGCTGCTCGCGTGTCATACCCAAATAAGCGGCCAGGGCGATCGAGCGCGGTCCAGCTAGCGACCGCGCTGCTGCTCCCCACGCCTTCCGTGTGCTCGTACCACACGTCCGCTCCGGTGCGGTCACAGCTATACTTGACCTACATACGGATTTAAACGCGAGTGTGTTAATGTCGCTGCCGAGGGGGTTACGACGAAGGTAATCCGGCTGACAGCCGTTAAATCCGGCTGGTGTAATCCGATATAAAATTCGAAAAAATATCGGGAAATTTTGGGGGGTGATCCGGGGTTGATTATTGAGAAAAAGCCAGGTAATGCGGAGGATACTCCTGAGGTAATCCAGGTGATCCGTAATCTGTCTGACACAAAGTTTAACAGTCGTTTCAGAATCGGTCAACGCCGCACTTGTCGTGGGCCTAGGTGTGTAAGGTCCATTCGTCGATTAATTAAGTCGATTACATACTGCAAGTATTTTTACGCTTACAAATTGTAATTTTACAACTTGCGTCAAGGGATATTTTCCTCGAAAAACTTGTGAAAAACAGAGTGAAATACCATTAACAAAAATAAAAGACTACTTTTTTTTCCTGTGCACCATCCCCTCTCACGGGCGAGCACGTGTTTGCCCTCTGTTATGACAGGGAGGACGCGCGGTGGGCAGACTCACCTGTCAGCCGCACTCACCGCGCACCGCATCCTCCTCCCCCCCTCCCCTCCCTCCTCTCTCCCTCCGCATCCCCGCGGCCGCAAGTGACTCGAAAACAAACAAAAGCAGCAGCAGTAGTGCGCGCTGCGCACCGCGGCTGTGCGGCTGGCGTGACTTTCTAACCGTGCGAAAGGAGCGCTTATATGTTTGGGTTGCTACTCTGCTGCGCCTCAAAGAAAAAAGTATTATGGGATTTTGCACCTTTACTTTTCGCCTGCAGTTATCTGAATATGATCATTTTCAGGTATCTTTAGCTTTTTTTTTTTGGCCATGGTCAGGTATTTTTCCTATTAACTGCTCCGCTCGGTGGGAGCCTCGAGCTATTGCTACTCACAGGGCATCTTAAGGTTAGCGATCTCAAAAATGGGCAAAACCAGCAAAAGAAACCTGAAAATTGTCATATTCAGGTAAGTTACCCGAATCTGAAATAAAAATGGTCCTTGGAAAATCTGGTAATGAAGTTCACCGTGCACTGATACGCCCATCTTAAGTTCAGACTTGTTTTTTCGGGTTCGAAAACATTTTCCACTGCAATTCTTCACCAAACAAAGCGACTGCTTTTCTGTGTTGCAGCCGTGCAGAATGAGCGGCAGCCGAGGAACACGGCCACCATCAGGCCCGAGGCGCTGGTAGAGATGGACCAGGAGCGAGCGCTGCGGGAGGCGGCCGTGGCCGTCGGCGTGTTCGGGTGAGTCTCCGGAGCCTAAACTTACTCATAGACTGACGTCATCTAAGTCTACTCAAAAAGAGCATCATGTCACTAGCACCCTCCATTGACGTAGGACAGAGGTTCTCGAATATTCATGACAATGATTTCTTATTTAGTGATCGGCACTGCCAAATTTACCTTGAAAGTCCTTTCTGTTTGCCAAATTTTGGCATTGTTGGAGACTGCCAATTTTTGTCCTTTCCTTAGCCTTATGACTAGAATGCGAAAATATGAGTCATGAATAAATGCTAAAATTTCAGAGTCGTAAAAGAGTGCCAAAAATTTGGAAGTCATTGTGGATGCAAAAATTAAGCAGTTAATATGAAGGAATGCGCCATGAAGGAAGATAATTTTGCCGAGCAAAGCTGGTGCGGCATTTAGGGGTTTGTAGCCAACATATGTAGACGGGCCTGCGTTGTTCCAGTGCCAAACGGAACAGCTCTGGCTAGGGCTAGGGGATTGGAGGACGCGACCGAATCACTGCGCATCGACGCTCTCTCTCTCTCTCTCTCTCTCTCTCTCTCTCTCTCTCTCTCT